GACTCATGAGTGCGGTCACTAAGCACAAGGCGGCATCAAACCCCCTTGTGCCAGCTCCGTGCTTAAACCCAGAGAGACTAGATGAAGAATGGATCTTAACAATTCCTGATGTTTGCCTCAGCATCTTCAAATCTTGAACTCCAGTTGCTATTGTGAAAACATAGCGACCAAATATTAGTGACTCCCGTGGAGATGCTCTAATGCCCCCAATCATCATTTGGAACATTAAGAATCATGGAAGGTGGGTTGACCAACTTAAGTAGGAATCCATTCCTAGAAAATTGTGCAAGGGTGGATGTGGGTGTGGGATGGGGGAGATTGCTAATCCAAACGCTTTATATACATACAATGTGGGGGGCAAGTTGGGTGAGATGTGGATGTGAAACCTGAAGCGGAAATGCCGCGGAAAGCTGCGCGCGCATACCGACTGTGCTAGCACCACTCTGGTTGCAAGTTTGAACTACTTGCCTATGACAGCAGCCCAACACGAGAACACGGTTGGAACCGAAAAACATGGTCAAGAGGAAAGCTTGTGGGTCAGTTTTATGTTTTCAATTCTGGGAACAGGCTTGCTGATAGTCTTGTTCCGACAGATTTCCATTCCACTCGAGCCATTTATATCATTAGCGTACGCTTGAGGGAGTTCTGTCTAGAAGAGGCAACTGTGCACTAAAACTTGTCTTCTGCTTCTTTTTGACGTAGGTGTAGGACGATCGGCAAGCAAATTCGTGATTTTCGATACCTCAACAATAACCTGCCTGCATACTCGTCCACCGATCTCGAATTTACAAGCTCACAGCCCATTCAATCCTCACAATGCGTCAATCATGCTTCCATTCAAGTTATCGATGGCTAGGACATCTATCTCCTACAAAGACTATCGCCAGCTCACAGTCCCGAATGCGGATGTTGAAGCAAGCCGATCATGTTGTCTTTCAAATTCGTCCTTCGAATTTTGAAAACCTTCGCGATTCTACCCGAAAGTTTTCTTCGACAAGTCGGATGTTAGCTCAGTTGGGTCGAATCGATGTCAAGAAAATGCCAATCACAGACCATGATTCGAACTTCGCGCTTAATGAGGATATTCTACAAGAAACTCGTAATACGGATTCTGCGTCAAATCGAAAGCCTACCGTCTGGAAACCATTTGCCTTTTTCCTTGGAGTTTCAATGTTGGGGTTTGGATTAGCTGTCGATCAAACCAACCGAGATACCGCACAAAAGATCGACTACATTCGAACACACCAAGGAACCTTCCCGGGTTGGTTTAGCAAAACCTTCACCGGTATTGCCAGCTATCTTGACCCGAGTGACGCTCAACTACAACAACTAAGGAAGTTGGATAAATTGAATTTCATAAAAGAATACGGCTTAAATAACCTCTTTCCGCATCATCTTTTGACTTGGTATATCAATCTTGGTGAAGGAAAACAAATTTGTTGTATCTTGGCACTTATCAATCTGCAAATCTTTGCCCTTTGGCAAATGCCGCGTTTCTTCAAATACATGACACAAAGATTTACTCATTTCCCACTCTCGGGTAAAAGCTACACACTAATTACATCCACATTCAGTCATTCAGTTGAGTGTCGTTTCAGATCAGTATTTTTTCGCAACCAGCTCTGATAGACCCTAACAGCTTGCTTGATTTTTTCGCAGTCTGCCCTCCATTTTGGATTTAACATGCTAGCTTTATATAGCATAGGATCTACAGCGCATGACTTTCTAACCCATCGACTCCGAGCATCAAGGGACGTCGATCCAGTTCGAATCCCAGAATCAACCCCGACCTACCATTTTCTAGCTTTCTATGTTTTTGGTACGGAAAAAAAATCACATTGAAAGTAAATTACACATGGCTTACCATCGTTTACTCTCTTCTATTTACAGCCGGCCTTGCTGCTTCGTTCGGCAGTCATGCTTATTCACTGTTAATACGTGCTCCGAGGCTGTTGAAGTGGCGACAGGGACTCTCCAAGAGCTCAACTCCTCCCAGTCCGATCTTGCCCAGTTTAGGAGCATCCGGTGCCATTTATGGATGTCTCAGTGGGTCATCACACTTACAATTACAAGTCATTTGATTCGAAACAACACTTCCGCTGAAACTGCACCGAAATACATTCAGCGATGACCGCATTAGCGTTTCCTGAAGCCCACGTCTCGTTGATATTTCTACCTTGGGTTCCATTGAAGATTGGAAACGCTGTTTTTGGTGCAGTTGAGTCATTTTTTTCTCCATTGATCCGTTTTCACCAAGGAAAACTTACCTCAGTAAAACATACATGATTCCAATAATACTCATCAATTGTTTCTCTTACGTTGTACCTCTTCGGATTTCACAGATGCTTTTTGATTTCATCGGGGTAATTAGAAATTGGAGATATTTTGATCACATGGCTCATTTGTGCGGTGGTCTTGCTGGAGTGTTTTGGTATTTTTTTGTGGATAAGTGGTTTGATGTTATCAGATTGAGAGTATGGGATCGCTATCTTGTTAAAGAAAATAGTAAATAGGTTATCCCCACGCTACCCCATTAACGGCCATTCACACCTTCGTAGTTTCATCGCTCAGGAAAACAATTTTTCTTCGAGAAATAACTTTTTCTGCGGTTAATTCATAGCTGTGTAATTTAAATAATGTGTTATTGATGTCGTACACGTCACGTTGGAGACTGGTGACAGTCCCTCACTCCTCTTCTCATGCTCGCTAAGACGGCTTGGGA